GGGGGAGTGGGAGAGGGAGAAGCAGGCTCCCCGCTGAGCAGGGAGCCCGACGCGGGGCTCAATCCCAGGACCCTGGGACCATGACCTGAGCTGAAGGCAGATGCTCAATGACTGAGCCACCCAGGCGCCCCAAGAGATACATTTCTTTTAAAAATTTATCTTTTAGGGGCTCCTAGGTGGCGCAGTTGGTTGAGCATCGGACTCTTGGTTTTGGCTGGGGTCATGATCTAGGGGGTCGTGAGATTGAGCCCCGCGCTGGGCTCTATGCTTGGCACGGAGTCTTCTTGTTCCTCTCCCTCTGCTTTCTCCTCTGCTTGCGCGCTCTCTCTCTCTAAAATAAATAAATAAATCCCTGCTCAGCGGGAAGGCTGCTTCTCCCTCTCCCACTCCCCCTGCTTGTGTTCCCTCTCTCCCTGTCTCTCTCTCTCTGTCAAATAAATAAATAAAAGTATTTAAAAAACAAATCTTTTTAAAAAATATCTTTTAGGGGCACTTGGCTGGCTCAGTCAGTAGAGCATGCAACGCTTGATCTTGGGGTCATGAATTTGAACCCCACATTGGGCATAGAGTTTACTTAATTAAAACAATTTTTTAAATGTATCTTTTAATGATTTTGTTCTCCATCCTCTTTTTTTAAGGGATCCTAGATGCACAGATTTGGGTTAATCATCTTTGATTCATGATGACTGTCATGGCTCTATGTATGACCTGATTTTAGTTTTTTATTTGTATTATATATTGAGCAGCCATTGATATAGTTAGTGTGGCTACATAGCAATTACCCCAAAATTTAGTGGCATAAAACAACTATTTTTTATGCTCATGGATTCTGTGGGTCAAGCAGTTTGAACAGAACACAGTGGAGAAAGCTAATCTCTGCTCTATGCTTTCCTGACTCGGAGGGTTTGCTCATTCATAGCTCTGACAGTTGAAGCTGGCTGTTAGCTAAGACCTTAGTACAGAACTGTGTGGGCTGGGCTTTCTCACTACATGGCGTCTGGGTTCCAAAGGCGAGTGTCCCAAGAGAAAGTGAGCCAGAAGGAATTTGTATTGTTTTTATGATGTAGCCTGGGAATCATATTGGATAAGATTGGATACTTTCCTGTTTCATATTGATTTTGGGGGGTACTTTTATCATAGCAACTGCCAGAGAACCATCTTCACAAAGACATGATGTCATCAAAAGAAATGCAGTAGTCTAGTGTTAAAACTGGGAACCACCTTGACTTAGTGGTTTACACGGTCACTGAAAATGGCTGTATTTCCCTGTGGTGCTCCAGGGTGCCTTAGGGCATTGTTTGGGAACCTATTCTACTTTGAGCTCAAAGTGCAAGGCTGTGGGACCACACCCATAAGTTTCTTAGAATTCCTGTTGTCTGTTTATAGGCACTCTGAGGCACCATTTTATTTTATTTTAAAGATTTTATTTATTTGACAGAGAGAGAGAGGGTGAGAGAGGGAACACAAGCAGGGAGAGTGGGAGAGAGAGAAGCAGACTTCCCTCTGAGCAGGGAGCCCGATGTGGGGCTCGATCCTAGGACCCTGGGATCATGACCTGAGCTGAAGGCAGCCGCTTAACGACTGAGCCGCCCAGGCGCCCCTGAGGCACCATTTTAAATCTAAGATCTTGGGGTGCCTGACTGGCTCACTTGCTAGAGCATGGAATTCTTTTTTTTTTTTTTTTTTAAAGATTTTATTTGTTTATTTGATAGAGAGTGAGAGAGCACAAGCAGGGAGCAGCAGAGGGAGAGGGAGAAGCAGGTTCCCGGCTGAGCGGGGAGTCCGATGCGGGGCTCGATCCCAGGACCCTGGGATCAGGATCTGAGTCGAAGGCAGACGCTTAACTGTCTGAGTCACCCAGGCGCCGCGAGCATGCAATTCTTGATCTCGGGGTTGTGAATTCAAGCCCCAGGTTGGGTGTAGAGATTACTTAAAATCTTTGAAAAAAAAAATAAATCTAAGGTTTTAACAAAGGGTTTTGTAGTGATGCCTTTTGCTTTATCATTAAACCATGTTTTCCTGACACCACTGAATTTGATCTCTGTTCAGAAGCCATTTCTTTTCTTAAATTTTATTTAAATTCAATTAACATATAATGTATTATTTGTTTCAGGGGTACAGGCCTATGATTCATCAGTGTTAATATAATACCCAGTGCTCATTACAACACATACCCTCCCCAATGTCCATCACCCAGTTACCCCATTGCTCCGCTCCCTCCCCTCCAGCAACTCTCAGTTTGTTTCCTATGATGAAGAGTCTCTTACACTTTGTCTTCCTCTCTGGTTTTGGCTTGTTTCATTTTTTCCTCTCTTCCCCTATGATCCTCTGCCTTGTTTTTAAATTCCACATATCAGTGAGATCATATCAGAAGCCATTTCTAAATTTTAGCATCATTTGCTGCCTGGAGGGGCTGAGAAGGAGAAATGTTTTATTTTGACCCCAGCAAGTGTTGGTTCCTTTATATGGTACAGTTCTTTCTTATCTCTGTCTTCTTAACATTTTACCATCGGCAACTAAGAAGCCAGGAGGCACCTTCTACACTGGAAGTCTCCTTAGACTGGCTCACCCAGTTCACTGGGTGTATTTCCTATTTTCCACATTACTACAAGCAACAGTGTTGCTAAACAGAAGTCCCCTTTCCCACAGCTTTCAGTAAGGATTTTCCTCAAGTTTTCCCTCATAGCGGCTTTGAGGGCCCTCAGGCTCTAAGTCTCTTTGAGGCCCTAGTCTCTCATGAATACTTGCC